TTTAATCCCATCCATTACAGTAACCTACAGTACAGCAGAGCGACATCCCCAACTTACCCGCTTTTTTGTTTTAAAATCCCATTTAAAAATATAAGGCATTTTTTTTTTAGAACCGTTAGTTAGTAACTATTACAGTTCAACAATAAATTACAGTTACAGATAGTGATTACATAAGCTAATTAAAAATTAAAATAACACAGAGGCAATAAAAATTGGTGGTGATTAAACGAAAATTATCAAAAGGGTATTAATGTGAAAATAATCATTATGATTTTGGATTCGGGGAAGATATAATTAAGGAGAGACGGTATTCTTAGATAGTAATAAGTTTCAGAGTGTGAATTAAAGTGAAATTAATGGGATAATGAGGGAATTTAATTGCGTAACAAATTGAGGTAAAATATTTGATTCATTATTAGAAATGTTTGAGTTGCTTAAAGTTACTTCTGCAGTTCTGAGTATGTCTTGGTCCTGRATTTTTCTTTGTATCGGGTGTGCGTGGACTGTGGCTCCACTGTGACTGGCAATACCATCTTTAAGTGCACTGATGGTGATACAGGTGGTATGGTCTTGAGGTGGCCATTCTTATAATTCTTATGATAGGTGTTCAAAAATTTAATTAATGAAGGACAACCTTTATAGTTCGCGGTATGTGYACCAGAACGCAACGCACATTTCACAGGCAGTTCCGAAGATTTGACACAGTCCATGGTGATATGGTTGTTGTCGCATTTGACACAACGTGGTGATTCACTACAGTAAGAGCATATAAGGTATTTATTTCATAATTAAAATTACATTTTAATTTTTCAACTTGCAAGATATTCTTTTTTAAAACCATGATTTTTTCAGAGTCAGGACAATAATATAGGTAAGATATTCAATGATACACGACGAACGTGAACAATAAAAAATAGTAGTAATTATATATTATTACAATAAAGTTATTAAATACACTAATTTTTGGAACCTCGATAATTAGTAATTACCGTTGGGCGTTGATTCAGTTAAGATTAATAGCCAATGCTGTTAATATATTATTTATTATATTATCAAGATAGATTAATTAAAATGTTATAGTTACTGTTAATAATAATATATAAAACAAACTATAAAAATACTAAGGTTCGCTGTAAAATGATATTTTTTTGATATAAATATAGATTAAATAATCAGTATTACATAGTGTATTTGATCTACAGCAGGTAATAAAATGTAATAACTATAATTATTATACTATAATATATTTAGTAGACCTAACCATTTTATAGCCATCCCTATGACCTTTAGTAATTTTAAATTATGGCTAATATTACTATTATTAGAATGATATTACCTAACTGGGTTGTTATTTTTATGTTTTTTGAAGTTTTATTCTCAAGGTTTCCATACAATGTACACTCACTGTACAAATATATAATACCATATACTTTTTATATATATATATTGTTATGTAACTTTTATCGTGCATGTCATTTATATTGCTACTATAAAAATATGGAATCTAAATAATTATGAAAAGGGACAATAACGTAAAWGCACAAAAATAAAAAAGTTTTTAATTCAAAGTTAATTGTGTAGAACTAATTATTTTAAATAGTTTAACCTAACAATAGTTAATAATCCGAAGATTTTGCACTCTTTAATTATAACCCGAGCCGGTATACTTTCAGCTAAACGAAATATACGTATATCTATATTATTTATTTAGTTACTTAAATTATAAATAGGTATTTTAATTAAATATTTAAATCTTATGTAATAAGTCTTTGGTRTTTTGTTAACATACTTTACGTCTTTCAAAGAAAATCAAAAACTAGTACCTAGTACCTAGTAGTAATACACACTTTCTTTATAACAGGTTAAGGGAATATTTTAAATATTATAACACGCTATTCTCACATTGTTTGCTTAATACATGTTAATTGCTAATACTAAATAGAACATAATAATATATTATACTTAATTAACATTTTTATAGTTATGTCGTGTTGCCATAGTTGATGATTTTCAATCAATGTAAAAAGTAAGGTTGCTTTAATGTCTCTTATTGTGACATAATTTTTCTCTGCTTCTAAATCATAAATGTCGTCCAAAGCTGGGTCACAGGCAAAATTCTCAAATAGGTATCAAAATCATCCAAGCATTTCGTCCCGATAAAACCCTTTACCTAACAATCTCTACTCTATGGTACGTAATACTGATAATATTATAGTCTTTTCAATCCTATGTCACTGTATATACGACGCACTCTTTATACTAAAGCCAATAAAATACGCATAATGCTAATACCTATACTTGGTCCTGGAGGTAAATTGAGTGGCTCTCAAGTGATATGAATGGTAAGTGCTGAACTTCACAATAAAATAGAAAAAAAAATATTATCTCTTCCCTCACGATGTGTTTCAAACATATTGGTTAATTCCAGCCTTTTATCCTAAGCACATTTAAACAATTTTATAATTTTATATCAATAATATTATTTTTACTTTTTTATAAAGCTTTTAGTTTTTATGTTTTAAACTTTTAAAGTATTTTATTACATGGTTTATCCTTGACGCAAGTATATAAATATAATATAAATATTTTAAATTATAATGTTTAAATATTTCTTTCAGTACTTTTTAAATTATTGGGAATAAAGAATCATWCATTTATTATTTATTTATTTATTTATTATAATTGTTAATAAAATCGTTGATTATTGATTATTTTCTGTGAACTTTTTCGTCATCATTTTTTTTTATTACTTACTTTGAAGTTTGATTTTCTTTTCATCCTTATTAATAATATTAATCAACCCTTTTTTGTTTTGTTTAAGATCATTACTAAATAATGTTGTTAGTTTTAAAACGTAAACTCAGGATCTAACATTAACTTGATTAACTCTCAGCTTTTAAATCATTAAATCAATACTTATTGGTTACGGAGGTATACGGAGTTTCTAATTTTTATAATATATAAAAGCAGAGTATTTTCAAATTATCAAAAATACAATTATAAATATAATAAAGGTTATGAGTACAGGAAATTTCCAACCAAATGTACTAATTTTAATTCGATTTTAATTTAATATAATTTTAGCTATTTGTATACAAATTATCCCCATAAAATTAATTGGATGGTTGTACTTTTAATTMAATTATTTAAATACCGACATTATACACAAACTCAACTGTACATTACTATTATTTTTAAGCTTAAGAGCCCCTAAACACGTTAAACAAGAAAGAAATTAGGAAAAGTAAAACGATTTTTTATGTAATTTTTATTGTTTTAAAAATAATTTTTGTTGGCCAAAAATTAAGGTATACCCTGAATCTTAGAGAATACGTTCAGCTATAATACGCATTTTCTCGTTAACGTTAAGCTGATGCTCGACATCAATCACATTCACCTGGTGAAGATATCAAACGATACTATCAGACAATAAACGATAGGGTACTTAAAGTGTTAAAAAAAAGTAGGAAAACCATCTAATAGGTAATTATATATTATGCGTGTGTGTTATTCGGTTCGAAGTGGATTCACGGGTATTACACACGGCGCGTTTGTATAAAATATCACACTATATGCTTTAAGTATTTTGAGACGGTCCCTTCGATATAAATCCAATTAACTATAGCTTGTTAATTAACTTAAATTAACCCCGGTGATTAACAGTGTTGTCACGATACACCCACGGGCTTTTCTCTTCGAGCCTAATGTAGATAGTTCGTCGTTCTCACGTTCACCGTATCACCCGCGGCTTGCAGAGGGGTGCTGGTTGGGGAAACAGAACACAGGATGAGAGAGAGAAAGTGAGAGATATGAACGAGTGTTCGTGTGTGTGTGTGTGCGTGTGAGGGTGTGAGGGCGAGTGAGAGAGAAAGCGAGCGAGCGAAAACAGAGAACGGAGAAAAGAAAAAAATACATATATATATATATATATACATATCTCCCACACGGATGACCCATTTCCTCACCCCGTGCGCTGCGCGCGCACATTGAAGCCGGGCAATTTTAAGGGATGTCGCATGCGAGTAGGGTGTGTGGGTGTGTGGGCCAGCGGCCTGCCGGCAACATGAGGCAACGCACACGCAGAGTCGTCGTCCCTTCAGTCCGACACATTCCAAACGAGCCGGCAGACGCGTCATGCCAACGACCGCGAGCGCTCCGGAGGACATCTGTTGAAACCATCGTATACGCGCGATTTTAAGAGTACATTTCTTTTTCTCTTCCCGCAGATTCTCTGTACTCACTCTCTCTCGTTCATTGGCTTTCTCTTCGCCGTCGTCGGATTTTTTTTTTATTATTGCCATTATCGTTATTAGTACCATTTACTTTTCTCACGCTTCCGGGCGCGAGTCATCCGCTCACCATCACGAGACAAAATCCCATCGCAGCATAGGTTCCTATATTCTGCCGTCATTCATACACTATAGCGAATAAGTATTCAAAAAGAGCACTTCTCTCTGCTCTCACGTATCCCGTAGCTGCCGCCGCTGCCACCCCGAAACTATAGTAACATCAACGCCACTGCGACTATTGCAGCATTGACAAACCGCTGCGCGCGGCCACTCGGCGACAGCGGCGGCAGTGGCGGTGGCGGACGGCAGTCAGTCAGTCAGTCGCTCACATCGCGGGCCGCGTAACCGTCGTGCAACGAGACCAGTCTCGCACTGCAGAGGTGTATAAAATCGCACTTAAACGTCGTCCGGTCACAGCCGCCGCCGCGATCTTCTGATCGCCGTCCCGCGGTCATAACAGCGGTCGCGACATGTTGCTAAGCCGAAGATTGCGGCTGGGCGGCGGCCTGCTGGCGCTGAGCGTCGTGGCGCTGTTCACGGCCCACCCGTCACTGGTCAGGGGTGGTAGCTCGCACAATCTGGAGAGCCACCAGTACAAGGACTCCAGGAAGTGTCTGTTGCAGCTGACGGCCAGGATGTTGGGTTGTGGCGGTGGCAGCGGCGTCAAACGGACAGTCGGGACGACCGTCAAACTTCGGCCGGACAAACGCCAACGYGGTGGCAACGATGACGACGACAACGATTTGGATCAGAACAATAATAATTTCGATTACAATTACGACGACGACGGCGGCGGTGGTGGCGGCGACGGTGGCGACGGCACAAACTCCAGACAGACGTTTTACGAACCGCCGCTGATCACGGACCCGAGGGACAGGATGTTGCCCGTCATCTACAGCCCGAGGCCAATGTACGCGCCGCCACGCCATCAGCAGCAACAGCCGCAGCAACCGCAGCAGCCGTACAACAGGTACGACGACCAAGGCGTCGCCCCGATCAACCCGTTCGAGGTGCCCATCATCATCGGTGAGTGTGACGGACACGTGCGCTGGCTTGGAAGCGTTKTTTTYTTCTTTTTGCCGCGTTCGTTTTTATCAGCATATTACCGCAGCATCCCATCACCGCCCACGCGTGAATGCCGACCCACCCTCCGTTTCAATTTTTGGCGCCAAACGTACGCGGGTTTTGCGAACGACCAATGCAGCGGTTGTGCAATGTTCCACGCGCGTCATTTTTGGGGGTAGGGGAAAGAGTGTACATTTAGTGTGATGCAAAATACGCCTCCATTGGCCCACCAAGAGAGAAAGGCAATAAAAGGCTGCTAACTAATTACTAATTTAATTGTACTGCAGCAATAAAGCACTATATTATGTGCTTGAAATATACTATAAGTATATAAGTTAACTTTWATCACCTACAATTATTACGTAGGCCRGGTAACGATTTAATWGGTAACACTTTGGCACCACCCACARTATTACATTGACGCATCTACATTTTACTCTTCATGCCTAAAAAAATATAACACAATCATATATTCATATGCTATTAACTGGATAGGTGGTGTATTATAGCCAAAATTTGGAATGAACCGTTTATTTATATGTGCAAATAATTCAATATTTTAAGACAGTGGCGTAATTTGGCTATGTTTGTGGGGGGGGGGATAAAATATTTTAACATTTTACCTATACCCCCCATAAAAAAAAATCAAAAGTATTTATTATAAGCCCCTTTCAGAATTCAGAGCAATATATTTATGTACACATGAGRCATGGAATAAATTTCGATTAATTGTACAAATCGATAAGTTATTTTTAGTTCAATAGGACTACGGAAAAATAGTAGGATAAGATAAGATAGGATAGATATGACAATATCTTCAATCAATATCAATATAGTCTTTAATCTAGATAAAATAATCTGATAATCGTCGATCGTCGTCGATCCACGATAAAATAATACTTTACTGCTCGGGGTTTGTTTTTGTACCACTACACAATGCATAAACAAACTCAAAACATATACAAAACATATTGCAATAGTGATACTTATAAAACTTGCGTGGCTGCATTTAAAACGAACTAGGTACGAAGTATTTATGTACAACTAGCATAAAGGATTTGTTTTTTTCGTATTATTTCTATAAAGTATAAAATACAGACTATTTATAATAATATTAATTCACCGAGGTATTTGATTTCAATATATATATATAAAATAATAATAATAATAATATTATTAGATAAAGAAGTACATAGGTGAGTGTAAATAACCAGTCTTAAAAAAAAGGTCATGGGGGGATACGACACCCAAATCCCCCCCGTAACTACGCCACTGTTTTAAGATGGTTAGCACAACGTCGTGTTGTTCATCAGAATGTAGTGTGTACTAGAATATAACATGTACGTGCAAGTTAGGCGACAGATTTAAATTTGAATTTTAAATTGGTAAAATGTAATGGTATTTTGTTTTCTCAAGARATGTGACGATGGAGGAAAGTTACTTTTTTATCGTACCTGTTGCGCGCGTAAAATCAAAATCAACAACGATAGTATTATATTATAACTAGGACCCGGGATTGTATGCGTTTGCATATTTTTATTTATTAAATTAAAAAATAGCTAGGTAAGATACATTGAATCTTAACCTAATGTATTGGTATGCAAGATTAAATTTTGCATATTTGAAACATTTGTMATTTTTATGTATATTTTAGGATTTTTCTAAAATGAAATGCATACTTATGAAAAAATAGTACCTATTATGTTATTAATACTAATACTTAATGCTATGTCATATGTAAAACCCGTGGATGTGAAAAGAAAAAATTTGCCTGAAAATCGAAGTGCATTTTTATTTGAAAATGTATCCAAGTCTTTAGTTAACTATATCTCTCCGTGCAATTAAGAAATAATATAAAAATATACTAAATTTTATTTTATTTTATTTTTGTTCATGAATTTTTATTTAAATGAGTGTTCAAAATGCAACATACTATGAATATATCATACAAAATACAATTAAATCATATCAAATTAGCATTTAATACATTTTTTGCTATTAATATACCTTATTAATTATTTAATGAATTATATACATTTTTAGACTAAATAAATTTAATTAAAATGCATTTTCGTTCACATATTTTTGCATATTTGAATGAAAATCTGTGCATATATGCATGCATAATTCATAMATTTTTAATGCATGTAATTCCGGGCCCTAATTATAACTGTTAAAACCACATTAATTTAAATTGAATATATTTTATAATAATCCACAAGAAGAAATTCTTGTAATTTATCGACGCAACAATTTATGCTGTCTACTGTCTTACCTATACTTATCATAATAAAAATGTTAATTTATCACCAATAACGGCATCAAATAATTTATCAAGAAAATCTTTTTGTAATATTATATTAAAACGTTTTCCTGTCGTAATTGATTTGATTATTTAATAATAMATTTTTATATTGTATATTATTACACATTTGGAATTGTGTCCCAATATAAATATTATATAATATTAGACATTTATATAAACAAAAGTAATCTACACAAATAAATTAAGTACGGCATTCAGTTTTCATACAATGTTTGTAAAAAATAAATGAATTTACACGTATGAGAGTGAAAAAGGAATATCCAAGATAATAATTTATATACCTATATAAAATACATCGCAAAATGTTGAGATTAAATTTTATAAAMATTTTAAAGACAAAATGACGGAATCGAATTCAAATATTTATTTTAAAAATACACAGTGAACCCCTTTAAATTTGTTTTTCTAATAATATTGAATGTTAAATTGTATTGCCTACCTAGTGGAAATACAAATCACAATCAGATTTTTAAATTTTTCTTCAATTATATATTTTTAAATGTACTCTAATAAATTATCTTGTTACCTACCTAATAAATAAAAACAACCGAAAAAATTTAAAATTTCAATATAAATTAATTTTAAAGTTTTTAGTGTAGACATTTTTAGATTATACCTATAAACTTCAAAATTAATTTTATTGAAATCAAGTTTTCTACAAACTAAATTTGAATAATAGTGTTTAAGTTTGAAATTATTATTTTAAGATGTAATACTAATAAATACTATAAAAAAATTCTTTTAATTAACAAAGCTTATTACAATTTAACAAAGCTTGGATATCTAAATTTTATATTTTTTATTAGTTTTTAAATGGATTGAGAAATTAATTGGTTTTGCAGTAAAATTAGTTTTCTATGGATACTTTGAAAGTAACAAAAAGCGGTAGAACCAGTAGGTCAATTAGGGGGCTTGGGAGGAAACTTTGCATGATCTGGATAATATTTAGACTGCAAAAAAAGTAAATATATCATTTTTTTTTTTTTTTGTTATTATTCTCGTGTTCAATATAAATAAATTTATGTTAGTCTTCAATGCTAGAAAAAAAATTGGTTGGATAATATACAGTGATGGGTGTAATGAATTTACTTTGCTCAAAATCAAAAATATCTATTGATGGGGGTAGACTTCTAAAGGGTTATTTTAAATTAACAGTCTTAGTGACGGCTACATCACCTTCAATAATTTTAATCCWAGTTGCACCTATGTATAGAGCTCAAATGCATACTATATACATTTTTGGAACCCCATTGCGTATATTTGTTGTATAACAAATGAATCTTTTAAATATGACATGATTGTTTACTAAGTTTACTAAGACAACACTAAGTAGGCTCCTAGGCTGTCATCGTTATAATAAATTATTTCAAAATAACGAGATCGAATAAATGTTTTTCAAGTTTAAAAAACACTTAACTATATTTTAAGGGAAAAAATAATTTTAATTTACTCATTAATCAATCTCATAATACTTTAATTAACATAATTATTAAAATAATTAAAATATGGAAACGGTTAAGTATTGAGTATATAATAATATAATAAGGTTAACTAAACTCGTTAAAGAAAAATCCATCGTTCAATTTAAATTTTGAAATCAATATCTGTCTTAAAATATACATAACTAGCCAATTAAAGATAAAATTATATGTCTATACATTTTTTATTCATTATGTTATATTTTATTTAAATACGTTTCAAGTATGGTGGAGGTTTAAAAACACATCTTGACATTAAATCCAATTTTATATCGTCGTTTCAACACGGATCTAAATTTAATTGTTGTACATTTTGTTTAATAATCCAGGATCATTCCTTGTCTAATAGATTTATTTTGTCTTTTTAATTGCATAAAAATGTTAAATTCATACAATTTTGCAACAACCCTTAATAATAAAATTAATTTAACGAACGTAATCGTGATATATAAAAGGTAGAGCAGATAAGTACCGTACGCTACTGTATTCTACCCTAATGGTGAAAAATATTTATGTAGGTATACCTATTATGTTTCAGACTTTTTATCTTATTGGTACATTGAAGAGATTATTTTTAGATTATCTAAATAATTTTTCTAGGCGTGTATAAAAAGTATTATGTTGGAAGGAAAAATACGAAAAACGTTAAATATTCCTAAACAACTATACTTTGGTTCTAATCAGCCTCGTTATTCAAAAGCAATTATATTTATCATTAAATGGAATTATGACCTATTATCCTGCAGGGTCAATGTGAACTGTGTAAAAAATAAACAATTTTTTTTAAATAATCACTGCGATCTATATTCAGTCTGGCTTATTATTTTCGCTTAATTTACGAGTTAAACTAATTTATTTATTTAATTTTTTTTTTAATTTTATCAATTTAGTTTGAGTCTTTTTTAATATTTTACACAAWCGCCACTTTTTAGATTTTAATGCGAGTTTATTCCTATTTTTAGGTTGGTATGTATAATCCATAATAATAAAAACTGTACATTTTCATAATAGCGGAATCGTATACCTATATTGTAAACTATTTTTTTACTCATGTATAATATTTGAATAAATGTTATCGAAATTCAATGTATTATTATTATTCGATATATTATCACTTAACCTTTTACAATTATTTATACCTAATAACATTAACAAAT